GGAATAATGAGCAAGCGGCTTGAAAGGCTTGAAATATAATGAACTTGATCGCTTTATTTCTAAGTTTGTCAAGGAAAATGAATTAGAAAATAGCCAATCCATAACATCGCAATCCTTTCCACATATGAAAACCAGAATCAAACGGAGTATTGATAATTGATAAAGAAATGCGGATAGTAGGAAGTAATAAAATTGCGAGGGGCCAAAATCCGGTCAACATTTCAAGAAGTTAAAAATAGTATTACTAAGTAAATACATGAAACACAAAGTTCCAGCTAACAAAACTAAGTTTAAATTTCAAGAGGAACAATACTTCCTAAATCATTGAACTTTTAGATGACCTTTGAAAGATATAACATTATTTTACTTTGTACTAAAATTCTTTCAAGGAATTAAGGAAAAAATAATAAGGTTTTAATGCAGTATCATATCGCAAAGAACTAAAATCAGTATACGAAGAGGATACGTGATTTGCGTAGAAACTGGTTAAGAATCTGCTTTGTGTTAGCTAGCACAGCTTCAACCTCTTCTTCCTGAACATTAAAGACAGAATTAATTTCATAAGTTCTCTACCCATTTATTATAATTAAAACTTAGTTGCATTTAAAAAAAATCTAATTATTCCATCTTTGGTAGAGAATAAACAATCCACTATAACAAACCTCAAAGGAAGTGTTATATTAATGAAAAATATTTGGACTCACCTCTTTCATGTCAACATAACCAAGAGGTAAATTCCCAACTGAATTGACCGGACAAGGCAAACCAAGAAGAGTTGACTGCCACATAAATTTAGGAGCATGTCAGTTCAATGTGGTCAAATTATGTTTCAAAGAAATGCGTTCACTTGGAACATGTATTGTCAAGGTTACACAACCATGAGGGGTGCAATATCAGCTTGATTGACATCAACCCTTTCAATTCCATTGAGGCCCCATTCTTCAGGTGTTGGTGTGTCATGCAAATGTTCATCAACAAAACGAAGAACATGATCAGAGTGATCTCTTCCAGAGATTGGCTTGGGATGTTTAATGCCCGCTCCCCAAGCGACTAGAGGGGTATCAGTGTTTGAAGGATGTCCATCCCCATGACTACCTATTCATGAAACCCTATTCATGTCAGAATCTGTAACTGGAAACTATCAAAGGAAACAAAAAATGAAATAAAGGAAGAAAGAAACATTAAGAAGTAGCAAATTAGTTGTGGTCTAGTAAAAATTTACATTTAACTATGGCCAAGGCATAGCCTGATACACACACCTTTCCTTCAAGGAGGTTTCAAGTTTAGGTGTAATATCAAAAGACTTTAAGCCACACAGCCTGGAGAAATATAACTAATATGTTGCTATCTCATAGTATAACAGCTAAATGAAAGTAAGGTGAAGTATACAAGAGTTCTCCAACCTTTATCACTCATTCCATGATCTGCTGTGAAAATATATGATGTACGGTTGTCCTTGTAGTAACTCTCAAGAAGATTATAAACACGTTCGGCAATATGATCAACAACCTTTACATTATTGAGATAAATGGAAGAAAAGGGACGATGTGCATGACCATTCGAATCACAACCAAGTAGATGCAGAAATATAACAAGATTATCGTGTTGAAGTAACTTTTTCAACTGTGGATCTTCATTGGACCTATTCAGAAGGCTCTTAAATTGATCAAAAGACCACTCATCCAAAAAGGAAGCATCTGCATTTACATCAATTGAATTAAGTATGGAACATACATGAGCATCACAAAAGCTGAAACACGAACAGAAGTGAGCATCATATACAAGGATTTCAAGAGATCCAGAAGTAATAAGATTAATGACACAATTTAAACTTCTGGAAGGTGTCAAGACATGTACAGTATGCCCATATAAATGCAATCTCACCCCAACAGAAATAAATTAGATATGACAAGAAAGCAAAGAAGCAATATCAAAAAATGATGGCTTAGATATTTAATAGTAGATGAATAGTTCCAAAATATTAATTTGATCTGAACCCTTTTTTTCTCCTTTTATATTTAACTTTAGGCCTTCTACTTTCTTTGCTTTAAGGATGAACTCATAAATTAAAGAGAAAATTGCCTTTGAAAGAATTATAAGCAGACCAGTTGCGAAGTCTTCAAACTCATGAGGATAGGTATTCCAAGTGCTGTGTGGCAAAGCGCCACAAAATATTGGAACAATATCTGGGCTACCAAAAGAAAATGTATGCCGGCTCCGATTAAAAACTGAATCAAATTCTACTGGATTAGCTTTCCATCCTGCAACCAATATGGAAGAGCTTTAGTAATTTAAAAAATATATCTATTGGTCAATTCTACCATGGTGATACAACAACGCTTAAAAAATTAACCTTTCGTAACTGCACTAGGGTCCTCATAGAAACCAGCAATTATAGCAACATGTCCAGGTCTTGACTCTGTTGGAGGCCGAGCATGAGATACTCCCCATCGACCTTGATTCTTAATCACACTTCTTAAAAATGGTGCTCTGAAATTCCCTTCTGAATCCGGCTCGAAAAACTTATCAGCACGTAAGCCATCCGCTGCAATGATATAGTTTTACCAAAAATCAGCAATTACAGCAAACATTAAAATTGAGTAGCCAACAAAGAAAACTAAAAAGTTCAAACTTTTACTGAAATTGCATCAAAACTATCATGAACCTTATTGAAGTCTCCATATTTCATGTCAAAACATAGCCTTTTAGTACAAATCTAACATACCCCAAATGTTCTTTAGTTCTATTACCAATCAATTATCCAAAGCAACTGATTCACATCAAACTAGCATCCATTCAACCAAGAAAAAGACCAACACCAACAATACATCATATCTTTGAACCCAAAGAAAAAAACGAAGAAGGAGCTTTTACCAACAAGGAGAACGAGGCGCTTAGCGGGAGCAGAGAAGCGAGGGGAGACAAGATCCATGCCATGAACAATGGGTGTCTTGAAATAGATGTCGAAGATGCTTAACATGTAAACAGCATGTAGGATCACCCCTAGGATCACCAGCCATGTTTCTCTTCTCTTCACCCATTTTCTTCTTCTGGGTATGCTTCCTTTGCTTTGCTTTGAGTCTCTGTTGCCCAAGATCCCATCACCACCCATCTTTTTCTTTTACTTTTTCAATTTGGTTTCCGTGTTTTAACCTTTAAACCAAAAATACTTGGTCGCAGCTCTCTCTAAGTCGACAAGAAAATACAACTCCGAATCCTAACTACTAAAAGAAATGTCTATAATTTGATTTCCTGATCTTAACTTAAAAATATGTGAAATATTATAAGACACAGATTAGTGCAAAATTTTTGTTCTATTCTATCATTCTTTTATATCAAATCATGAAATTTCTATTAAAATTTCTAAAAATTATGCAATCAAAAGACAAAAAAATTATAATAAATGTTTAATAAATTTGAAATATAAAATTTAATATTAAAATTTTTTTTTGACTGAGAATAAGTTAGAGGAGCTTAAGATCCAAGCTTTTTGTAAAAAAAAAAAAAAGTATATGGGTATTAATTGTGTAAGATTTTATGATTGTTAAAATTATCGTGATTTTAAAAAATGGCATGCTCTTCTCTGAAAAAAGAAAATGAACGCAAGTGTCTAAACAAAATTTTCCATGTTTAAGGCTGTCATGGGTTAGTTTTTAAAGAAATGGGTCTAAAACTTAGGTCTCCATAGTGGGTTTTCCAATTTCCATCCTAATAAGAAACTGAAAATATTGCAAGCCTAAGTGCTTTTCGGGCCATAAGCCCAAGAGTACTATATAAGGGTGATAGGACACTCAAGCAACCATCTCTTTTAAGGACAAAGATCGAAAGAGCAACACTAATGGCTCCAGCCAGCCAGCAATGTTGGACACTCAAGCCGTTGCCCGAGCAAGAGGTTTCTGCTGCTGCAGAAATGGTTAACATTGTGCTGGCAAACCATTTTAGTGAAAATTACACCAGCCTTGTGGAAAGCAATGAGCTTTGTTGCCTTCTTATTGGAGCTGGATACAAGATATAACTCAATTATGTTTATTGAAAGATAGAGTAAAATACGTGATGATATAATATGAATACAATATGAATAAAAATATAAAAATAATATAATTTAAAATTTAAAAAAAATTATAAATAAATTTAATAAAATAAAAAAATTATATTTTATATTTTCATTTCGACACGAACTATGATAAATGATTTTTATATAAAATATGATATGAATAAAGTATTTTATATTATATATAAATTGTCAAATCTATTGTAAGAGTTGGGGGTTTATAAGGAGGACACTTAGATATGATAATTTTAAATATGATAGGAATAATATTATAAAAAAAAGTTATAAAAATAATATGATTTAAAATTTTATTAAAAATTTTTTATGAATTTAGTAAAAATAAAAAAATAATATTTCATGTTTTGCATGTTATTATATTATAATAATTTTTGTATTTTACAATGTTTGATGCAAAATAAATAAATATGAATACACGAATTGTTATTCAAATGATAGATCTAAATAAGGGTTACTGGTTCTTTCTTTTCTTTACTTCTTTTTTTTAACTAGTAGGATTTTTTTTTTTCAAACAATGTTAGTTGAAGCTTGAAATGCTACGCACAATGATACTCTTAAGGTTAAAATATTAAAAAAATTCTTTAAATTATTTCAATTTTTTAAAAATAAATCTTTAAATTTTTATTGCACTCAAATAAATTTTTATTCTTTAATTTGTATCCAAAAAATATAAACCCTTATTTCAAGTAAAAAAATTATTTATACTAAAAGTTCATATAGATATAAATTTAAAAAAAAAAATTATTTTGATACAAATTAAAAATTAATAACTTATTTGTATACAAATTAAAATTTAAAAATTTATTCTTATTTCTCATTTTAAGTGTTCATTAATCAGTTTGGGATTTTTAACTCAAATTGATGATAGAATAAAAAAGAGAGCATTCTTCGGACCAATTTTCTAATAAAAAATTTCAAACTACTTCTAAAATTAAAACACACTTCTAATTTTCTCAACTACAATAATGTAAAGAAGAGTGGAATTTTCAACAAATACAGTGCTTTGCATTTACATCCAGGGAAAGTAACATTCATAAATCATAATGAACAGAATGGAACAATTGAAAGGGAAAGTTTAAGCAAGTGAATCATCTGATATCACTTAATGCCGATTCTACTACAACACCTCCAGCTAAACTGAAATGACAAACAGACATTCTACTTCCAACTGTAAGTAATTGGATTGTCATATGGCGATAGTCTTCCTTCCACTTTGACCATCAGTTACAGCAACATTACAGCAGGCTTACACCCTTGGGATGAATGTTGATTGTCTTATGGTTCCTACTCCATGCAGACCATGTCATCGCATCAGTGCGTTTTTTGAATGCATCATATGTATTCCTATGTTCCAGACAGTTATATATGACGTAGGATCATGAACTAAACATTCCAGGATTTTGGATGATGAGAGGATTCTTAAGATGAATTAGACAACTCTTAAGTTTTGTGTCCGGTATATGCTCAGTCTGAAAATGTAGGACTGCTTAGAAGATTAAAGAACCATGCAGTAAAACAATCCTTTCCGACTGTAAATTCCATCTCAAATTCCAGGCATGCCAGCTGCCAATCAAAGATACCTGTCAGCTGGCAGTATCTTCAGTAACTTGGCAAGGTCATAAGACTTGAAGTCCCTCCCATAACACAAGCTTAAATCCAAGGCAGTTTTCCCATCCTGAAATGCAGGAACTCTAGAACATTAAATTTACATTCATCAACAGCATAAAGGAAAACTGCATGATCCATGTTTCACTGCCATGACCAAAAGTATTTGACGGCAAAATAGCAAGTGATACATTATTTCTCAGCAAAGGAACAAAAGAAAAAGTACTGAAATATGCAGAAAAAAAGAAAATAAGTAAGCACACTTATTCACATTATACATGTTAGACATTGAAAAAAAAGTGAAAGGTAAGAGAAAGGTTAGCACTAGGCAGCCCCTTGCATGGACTTTGTTACTATAGTTGCCAGTTGTAAAGAAAACTAGGCACATAATATAACTAAATAGACCTTCCTACCTCCTGAAACAAATATTCAACAATACAGAAAATGATATTGTTATTTTTGCCATACTGCTTACCTTGTTTTTTCTGGTCTTATCTGCACCATTGATCAACAAAACTTTTGCTATATCTCTATTTCTACTTTGCACAGCAATGTGCAATGGGGTCCATCCATCCTGTAAGAAGGGGTTGCAAAAGAACTAAGAAACAAAGTCACAAGCTAGCTAATATCAGGGTCAAGAAAGTTTACAAGCGGCTCACTCTATCATCAACATTGACGTCAGCATTGTACTTGAGCAATAATTTCACAGTTTGCATAGCACCAACATGAACTGCATAATGAAGTGGGGTAGCACCATCCTGTTATCAGGATAAAGAGATTAATTCAAGTTTAATGAGTGTAAAAAAGGAACATGAAGCTGAGACAGGGTTATGATAACAAAATGCTACCTCACCTTATCTTTGACATGCGGACTTGCACCTTTTCTTAAAAGATGACTGATTACAGCCTCCTTTTTACCCATAATTGCCTTATGAAGAGCAGTGTGACCATCCTGTCTCATTATATCAAAATCAGATTGTGTATACTAGGAACTGGCAAACCTAAAATTTAGATATTAAATTTCAGTTTGAATAAAAGTTACCTTATCCACCTCATCTATATTTAGTCCATCTTCAAGTAGCTTGTCCATAAAAGGTATCTGCAATGATAGTGCAAGAGTTTGAAGTGGCTTCCATTTGGCCTGCAAATCAGTGTCACAAGAAGCTTAAATAGTTAGTCCATAAGAAAATGTATGCTTTTATGTTTTAAAAATTCCTAGCAAATGAAAAATAGTTCAATATCTTATAGAGCTAGAGCAATAACGGAAGAAATGTCTGTTACAAAATACTGATATAGGAAAATAAAATTATTATATAACAAAACAAGATGTAAAGCATTCAGAATTACAGTTGAGATTTTTCTCAGGTTAGGAGAGGCATTCTGTTGCAGAATTGCTTTTTCTTCTGGTCCCAAAAGCTGCTCAACCTCTGCAACAATCAGAGAACCTCCAGATACAGTTCATCTTTGCTAAAGGTAGTTTGTAAGAAAACACATAAAAAGTAGTTATAAAACAAGGATGTCCAACAAGTACAAGAAAGAAGACGACCAGTGCAGATGAATTAAAGATACGACTCCATGCTTTTGCAGCAAATGAATCAGAAATTGGCTTACAGTCGATTATATTAGTTTGAAAGCTTAAAAGTCAAGCTGCAATATAAGACATCAAGCACTAGATACCAACTGGGTATAAATGGAGATTATTATTAGAACAAAGCTTATATCTTCATATATAAAGATGAAAATGTAAATCAATCAACAGAAATATATCATCTTGCATCAGTTGTTTTCTGATTCGGAAAAGACCAAAACATCACGCATTCCCCATTCTGATTCGGAAAAGACCAAAACACCATGCATTCCCCTATCCACCACATAGAGGATAGAAACGGGACAAGAATTAAATCATATGAAGTTCTGAATCAGTAAAAGCAACATCTTTACCACTCGACTAATCACCTCTCCGGCCATTCAATTAAATTGGAATTAACTATCACCTCAAGAATGATAGTCTAAGGCTAATTAGCAAATTCAAATCACCACCTCCTAATTTCACATTTTTGAGGCATTAGAATGAAAATAATATTTACAATTATTTTTGACATAAGTGTCAGATGTAACAGAAAGGATCACATTAGATATGGGCCATAGCCTTAAACTCTTCTCCATCCTATGAAGGACTACAAAATGCAGCCTTGCCCTCAGGCCTAGTTAGAAAACACAAATTACTTAAGAACTATTATTATAATCTATTAAGTTAATAAACAGTACCAGTAGCTCTACCCTATGAGCCTTACTAGTAGACCTGGCAAGCCATGCATCCACGTCCGTCTATTTCGTGTCTAACACATCTAAAATGCGAAAATTACCATGTCAAATTCATATGGATACCCCAAACATAAAACACATATTTTGGTTTTTGCCAAAGCATTCGCATTTTTATTTTTGGTATCATTTTCGTGTCACACGTCATGTTTAAAATTTACAGGTCTACTTACCAGCATGCCTTAAAGTACCAAATTGAATAATAAAAACAATCAAAATTCCTATCTAGAGTCTACATACAAAAACATAAGTATTTAAACAAGTAAGTTCCTTTCCAATCAAAAGGCAAACCTTTGACAAGGTCTTCCTCATACTGGTTCCTTGCATACTTGTCAATAATCCCAACATCATTTCCCTCTTGAAAACCAGACTCGTCATTCTCTTCCATTTCCTCCTCCTCCTCTTCTTCTTCTTCTTCATATTCACTTCCACTTCCATCATCTGGATCTTCCCAGATTCCTTGATGGGTATTTAAAGAAGCTGTCGAAGAACTCGAATTACCCACACAAAGCCTTGGAAAGCTTCCACCTGAACTGCCCAACTTGACACTTTTGTCTCTGGCCTGGAAGCTTAAAGTTGGAAGTGGAGTTGAAACAACAGGAGAGAATTGTAAATGACCCATCAATGGAAACCTTGTTGCTATAATCCAAGATGAAACCGCCATACTTTTACCACAAGGTGGAACAGTTTTGGGTTTATTGTACGATCAGAAGGGAACCTCTAAAGAGGGTTTTAAGGTTTATGTGTTTATTTTTGTTGCGCTTTTCTCTCCCTTCCCTATCCATTGGAAAGGGTTTTATTTCTGTGTTCATATTTAGACCAAACTTTTGGCATGAAATGGGCAAAGCCCAAACGCTTAGCGTAGGCTTTTCTATGGGGAGAACATATGAGAGAAATAAAATATGTAAACATTAGTTATATATACAGTTTTATTTTTTGTATTTGTTAAAATTAATTATGATTTTAATAAATTAAGCTTTTATATTTGAACAAAAATGTTTTATTCAAACATTTGTTTTAATTGATACATGATTTTTTATCCAATTAAAAATTATAATTTATAAGGGTTTTTTTTTTTTTAAAGAACATTAACAAACCACTTAAAACAACACAGGCACCCTGGCCTGGTTTAAACCCCATCTAACAGCTCCAACATCGTAAGAGTTGGATGAGAATGATTCACATTTCATGATAAACATGGACAAATTTTGGCTCAAAGGATGGTTTGATTTTATGCTGGCCAAGCAACAGTTTAATTGAAAGGGTTGAATGATGTTCTGATAACATTGTTAGTCATCATAAAAACTACTTTAGTCAATATATTACAGCAAATCTAATATGTCTCACACACTTTCACCGGCGAATGTACAAAAAAACATGTCAGTCCAAGCGAGGGCAGCGACAAATTTGCCGGTGAACCAGTAAAGATACAGAGATCTGAGCACCTTCCATGGTGCTGCGTAAACTTCAGGTTTACCTTATGGTCCAATCCAATCCTCTTGAACTTGACCATCTGCAAGTGCAACAGAAATCTAATTTGCCAACACCAAGACTAAAGTTCATAAAAGATTTAATGGAGCTTGAAGACCCTTACTCATAAGATTAACTGCTTGGTTTGCGAGAGCATCAGCTTCGGAGTTAGATTCCTTGAAAATGAACAATGTGTCATTTGCATCCCAGAGGCAGAGAACAAGAATCCATGTTCAAGTTGATATTAAAATAAAGGGGATTCCAAGAATTGTTTGAACATAAATAAAACAAATCCATGATTCCAAAATTAAACACATCTTTATTTTAAAGCATCTGAAGCCATAGATATCCAGAAACTTATATGAAGTAACCTTTAAAGGCCTAGAATTGATCTGAATAAAAACTTTTGTTATTAGACACATTCTACTTTTTAATTGCCAGAATCTAAGCTATAGAGGAACTAGGCAAAAGATCATAAAAGAATCCTATAATGTTCTTATTGCTTCATTACCATTTATAAAAACTAGTCTAAAACCAACAATGACATGTACATGATGGATAGCACATAAACAAATAAGGAATTTATTATCAGCCTGTACCCTGCCAACATGGTTGATCTGGAATGACATAAACTTATCCTTGAGCTCCTTTGCCTCTTTATTTAACTCAACTAAATTCTGACTTTTAATTTTCCACCGTCCCTGAACCTGTTACATGAGGAGATTGCAAAAGAATGATGTGAACAAAATGTAGAAAATCATGAAAAAGGAGAGAATACTTGAAAGTAGTAAAAACCAATATAACTCTCAACCTGCATACAGACAAGGTTAGAGTCTCCTTGTACACGAATGTGTTTGAACCCCTTTTTAAGAGCATACTTCATCCCCAGAATGACAGCTCGATATTCAGCCACATTGTTTGTGGCAATGCCGACACCTTCACACAATCGACAGACCTATTATATTTCAAGGTTAGATACAGCTAGGCCACTAAATAAAGAAGGATTCATAACCTAAAATTGTTGCATATAATTCAAGTGACAAAATACCACCCTTCCATCTTCAGCACGTAAAACAGCTCCTGCACCAGCTGGTCCAGGATTTCCTTTAGAGGCACCATCAAACTCAACAATACAGGATTGCTAGGCATTGACATAAATCATATCCTTAGTTAAAACCAAAGTACCAAATCCAATACTATACTAGATATGCTCTTAATTATAGTATTAATCATTCAGTTGGTGCTGATTACAGCAATGGTTTAAAGACATAGGAACATTTTAATTTTACAATGATAACTCACAGGATTAGAGGACATCATTTGAGTTTCAACTTGATTAGCGAAGTTCATATGATTTAACCTAGGATCAGTGAAATGTGAGGTTGATCCAACCAGCTCCTGTAATAAGAGACAAAAACCTGTCAACTTAGTAAAACAAATACAGTTATGCAAAGGTCTTGCTTGTCTTTCAGTTAGTTAAATAACTGCATGAAATTCCGCAACTTTCATACTAATAATAGTAGTTATTATTATTAGTTTATTTTGAAAGCTAAATCCGATGAAATTTCCAACTATAATAAGTCCAAAACCAGGTGAAATTTTAGACTACTCACAATTAAAAATTAACATCTAAAAATTGCCACATTTTGTACCTAATTATTTGGTCCAAACATGTTGCACATAATGAGTTACTGAATCAGAATTTTAATATTCCATAAGTTTCAACAAAGAACCTTTCCAAGTATTTGCTGCTGTCTATTTGGTGAAGGATCCGTGTTGGATGTGTTTCCTCTGACAGAAGTTGGTTGCTGAAAGCAAATTAGCATTCTTAATGAGCATTCCCCTATTATGGCACAAGTTACGCCAAGGAAGAACAAAATAACTTATCAATTATTTATGTAAGTACATAACATACAGATATACACGCATACAGTGGCACAAAAAGACAGCAAGATGGAAGATGATATATTAAAAAAGGTGTATAGAAAGGAAGTCTCACATACTGTCAACATGATAAGCAATAATTCAAGTTAACACAGCAAATGAAATAAATCCATCAAGAAGAGGTAGGAGAATCAACCTGAGGAGGGCAAGGAACAAGTTTGCCGAAGGTATTATCATTAACATCAGAGGCACTGATGGAATAGGCAGCATTCTTCAGCCCACAAGAACCAAGGTACACCTCAGCCTGCTTTGACAAACCATATCCTTTATATACCCTTAAGGAAGGATCATATACCTATATAAAAAATAAAACATCAATCTTCAAACTATCCAAAGCACATATCTTTATGTCTTATTCAACAGCTAAAGTTTAAGAATGCAATGATGTATTGATTATTTCCTCAATATAAAGCAGACCCAGAATTGAAAATGTATGATTTGATCCAAAAAGCAAAAACCCATTAGCAAATTCATCTTAACAACAAAAAGTAAACTAAAAAGCATTGCTGGAATGTAAAGAAGAAAATAAAGAAGGGGGGGATTTACTGAAATTCCAGCTTCTGCTAAATCCCTTAAACTTTTGTAAATGCCAATAACATCTCCCTTCTTAACAACATAAAAAGCATCTTTTTCTTCCTCCATTGATGACCCAAAATCTTGAATTTACAGATCTTGATAATGGAAAAAAAAAACCCAAGTTTTAAAGAATTTAAAAAGGGTAAATGAGAAACTTCGAAGTACAACCGTTAAGGGAAAGTGGCAGTAGGGTAGAGAGTGTGGTCTTTTCAAAGTTTTAAAAGTGGTTTTGTGAGTGCCGAGAGAACGATTGAAAAGACAAGACAATGGGCAGCAACGAGGAACTTCTGCCTTTTTGGTTTGGGCTTTTGAGGGAAAGACAAAACGGGTAAGAAGGGTAAGAACAAGACAAATGGCCCGTGTTTTATGCCCAAATGCAGCTGTAGGCCTAAATCCAATTATTAAGTATCTTGTTTTTAATTATAGCTAAAGGCTAGGAATGTCAATTTAAATCAAATCTCGACTTTTTATTTTAATGAAAATGAGAATGAAAATATGTATTATCTTTTTGGGATGAGACGAAAATAAATATGATTTTAAATTTTTTATTATATATGGATATGATAATAGATAAGATAACATTTATACCGTATTCATATTTTTTATATATTGTAATATTTTTTTGAATGGATAATGAAGATTTTTATGTTAAATTAGATGATAATTTATATCGACATATTATATAAAATATTATATTTATATATTTTTATATAAAAATTATTTTTTATAATTTATGTTGATGTGAAAAATATAAAATATAAATTTTTATTTTATTAAATTTATTTATAATTTTTTTAAAAATTTTAAATTATATTATTTTTACATATTTTATTCGTATTTTAAATTGTATCACTTGGAATATAGAGGCCATATCCTGAGGCCTCATGCTTTTCTGTTTCTTTGATTTCAGAATGTCATGTCCTACAGAACTAGGATGTTTCATACCAAAACTAATTCATATTCTAAGGCTCCGTTTGGCATTCGGGAAACAACTTCGAGAAAATAAAATATTTTCCTTAAAGATATTTTGTAGAAAACAAAAATATTTCAGATGTTTGGATGGTTTTAGAGAAGTCGATTTCTAGTGTTTCTTTCTTCCTCTTTCAACCCTTACCTTTTTATCTCACTATTATCCTCTCTTTATGTGGTGGCGGATTACCCAGTGAACACTCTCCCCCGCCTTGTTCAACTCTCCTTTTTGTTATGCAAAGTAGCACGCCACTTTGTTGCTTGATCTCTAAACAGAGGCATAAACGAAAACTTCAATTTAAAACCAAATCATGATCTTTAACCCATATCAAGCATAATTCTTCGAAAAAAAAAACAAGGATTTTCTGTTACTGAACTCAATTGGAAGAGTAAAAGGAGAAGTTTTTTACGGCAGCTTGTCTGTGTTCTTTGTAACTGAAAAAAAAAATTACATTGGATTTTGGTGGGATTTTGTAGTTGTATCATGTTTAAAGGAAGGAAAAAAATGACGTAAAGGGCTGGGATATTGTTGTTGGCCACGGTGGAAGGAAGAAGTGAAGGCTATCAAAATATGAAAAGGGCAGTTCTTTGCAAACTTTCAGCTTTCCAGTATGAAGGTCGCAAACTGCAATTCCATAACGGTAACGTCTTGAGACTCTTGACACTTCAAGAAACCGCAGATACACTTAATTGATATAAAATGGGTGAAAGTATAGAGGATAGACATGAACTTTTGATAGAAATGGGTCATGAGTCGTAGGATAGTCAGCATCATCATTGATATAACTCAATTGCAACTTCACGCTTCAAACACTACTCCCCTGAGTTGAGTACCCATAGTTCCAGACTCAGATTCTTATGCAACTCGGTTTCATTTATGTAAAAATATCTAAGATCATCTTGGTTGATATTGTGTATGGTATAAAAAGAAACAGGATTCCATTTTCTGTTAGGCATTGGAATACATTGACACCGATCGTCCTTGCTGTCTAAATCATATCTTAGAAGAGGATTATTATCATCATAGATATAAAGAATCCCATTTAGAGCAATGGGTTTAAATCTAGCTCTTTTGATAAGTACACCTTGGGAACAATGCACCTGGGTACTTGTCCATTCACCTGTTTCAGAAGAAAAGATTTCAAGGTCCAAGAATGCAGTACCTCCACGAGGTATTATAAGTTGAACCACCTTGTATCCTGTAGCGATAACCCCTTCAACCTTAGTAGCAAAAATCAGATGTCGATTTTGTTTTGATTGCTTATGAATATCAAATATGGAAAAGATGGTGGGTGCAGGAGGTAGAGCCATAGATTTCTTTGAGTATCAAGTATAGCAGCAATCCATAGCTTGATTCCTTGATAACATAATATTCATCTCGAAATGTTGAAACAGATGAGAAAAAGGAACTCAAGAATTAAACCCGAAGAGGGTACCGAATCAGAAAAACCTGCATAATTCATGATGATTTCTTCATATTTGCAATTTAAATTACGTAGCAACGTCCATGCTGTGGTTGAACCTGACGACTCGTGAGAAATATAAAACCTGGCAAAACCAGGATCTGATATGATAGAAAGCCACTGCCTGGAGATGCACTTGAATCCGAAAACGTATTTAACAGGCAATCTAACAAGGATTTCTATCACCAGGCACTCAGGTAGGGGAGATTCATCGTACCAGCCATCAGTGTTGGAACTTTCACACGGGTTCATCTTGTCTGTTTCCTGTTTTTGTGCAGTTTGATGATTCCTACGAATTTCATCAGAGCATTTGTCGTTTTCATGGCTGAAATTCTATGAGATATGAAATCTGTCTAATTAATGATAATTACTAGGGTTTATGTTAATGACAGGATTTTTATTTCACTTTATTGGGCCAAAAGAAACCATTCAACATGGGCCTGGCTAGAAGTTGGGTGCTTAAGCCCTTTCATGTATATGAATGCTGTTTGAACTTGTATAAAACTATTGGCAGTTGCAGAGGAAAGAAAGTTGTCTTTCACATTAAACAAAAGATTTCAACCCTTTTAAGTCATTGCCTTATGGCACAACAAAAGTTTATATAAAAAAAAAAGAAAAGAAAAAAACCAATTCAGCTTCTGATTATTATTGTTTTTCTCATGTTTTAATCTTATACACCAATTGCACCGGTTCACTGGGGTTGCCCATCTTGAATTCTTGATGATCATCCAATTTTTCGGCCATGGTCAGGAAGTACCGAACACGCCACTCCAAAGAAAAGACCCAATATCAACTATAGACGAAGAAGAATTATTGCCACCATTGTTACCATTGCCACTATTGCCACCATTATTGGAATCATTACCCATTAAACTTTGCACAAAATTCTGGCCAACTTGTTGAGATGCTCCTTCTACAAAGCCCTGAACTACAGCACCCATCAAAGCGTTTCCTGACATGGCTGTTCCATCGTTTTGGCTCTGCGGCTGCATATAACATTGATTATTCATTTGTACAGGGCCACTCGTATACTGCGTATTGTTTTGTCCTGGTCCTGGAAATGAATTCCGTGGCTGAAACTGGATGTTTGCTTGCCTAGTTGTGCTTGTATATGTTGCAGTACTTGCACAAGTCAAATGGACATCAAATTCGCATATACTACAGCGATATAGCCAATGGTTTGACCCAATCTGATGGCAGATATCACAAGAGAAGCCTTTGGTTTGATAAGGAGGGTAAAAGAAGAGTTGAAGCTGGCAAGGATGAGATGGGTGGAGGAGAGAAAGTGGCTTGGAAGCACAGATGGAGTGGATATCAAAATCACACTGGTTGCAGTGGTAGTTGAAGCCATGGCCTTGTTGACCACAGGCATCACAGCTGAAATAGCCAATGGGGTAGGCGGGGGTTGGGAGGAGGCTCAGAGAGTGACCGGCGTGGGCTGGATGGGTGATGAGTTGTGGCAGTTGGCTGCAGGATGTATGTAGGGTAAAGTTACAAGGCTTGCAAGTATACATCCATCCTGAGGATTGGAGCTTGCAGCCTGAACATGGACCGATGTGAAGAGTCTGAGAATTGGTTAGCTCTAGCAGATGGGGATGGCTGAAGTGCTGGATGTGTAGATCATGGCTTAGCTTCCCCATCTCTCTACCATGGAAGAGGAAGACAGTAGGCAATGAAAGGGTTAAGTTGATTTAGCTCAAAAAGAGACAAAGTGATTGACTTCCAAGGGCATCTATTAAGTCAATGCCTCGGTGGAACGCGTTTTTCTTCATGCTGTTTGGTTTGGTTAATCTTTGAATATGTCAAAGAGAATTATTTAGGAATTAGGAGTGGAAACAAACCTAAAAAAAAACGCGGCTAGCGAGTAGCTCTACCAGCCGTTAGAAAGTTGGCTTTAAGTTTGTGGTTAGTGAGAGAAACTCGCCATTCCACCATAACACGCTAAGGAAGTACTTAAATCAAAGACAGAAAGGGTGGAGCAATTGGCATATTCCAAGTTAGAACTATGGTGAGTTTTAGGATTCATGGATTATGTCAAAGAAATCAGACAGTGGACATACAGGTTCCCAGCTAGTAACTCTCCAGGGGACCCTAGTTTCTTCAATCAAGCCCGCTTGCTGGTTGGCTAGCAGGGCTTTGGCATAGAATTTACCTCCTTCCTGGTTTGAGGTTTGTCCCAATTGGCTTCTTGATCTGTTTGTACTCTGATATACTGTAATCCTTTTAATACTTCATTCTAGTTCTAGCAAAAAGGGACCTGGCTCCAACAAATTGATCAACAGATATAAACTGTATTTCTTGCTGTAATTCCTTCAAGGAGAAACCACATGCTCCATGTAATAGAAGCATATTCTTTTCAAAGTTATATAAAGAAAATTGAAATGAAAATTTTCTAGTGAATTATTATTATTATTCATACACAGATTACTTAGAGGTAAAATATACAATAAACTCAACTTTTATCTCTTAGTCCTGCCCTAATAATTAAGATAGCAGTGTTTTTACTATTTGTGTTGACATCCAGCTCCAATCCAAGCCAAATTGTCATAGAGCTGGAAGTCAGTACAAACTCTGTATATGCACTAAAAAACAATAAGTTGGAAATCTTGGTGGTCCTTTTTAACTAATCTGCTCACCAATCAAATCCAAACCAACAACTAGAAAAGTCAAGCCTTGAAACAACAAGAAGTAGAAGTGAACTCCATGGGCAGATAATAGACTTCTTACAGCTGCAGTGAGTAGAAGAAAAGCAAGTGCTAGCTCTTTCCTATAAAGCCTGTTTCTCTTCTTTGCAGGGGTAACTTCTTGTTGCTTGAGTTTATTCAACATTTCCAAACCAGATTCAGAGTGCCTCCTGAGGATTTTCTCTTCATTTGAAGATTTTGATTCCCTCTCAGCTAAGGCCAATAAATCAGATTCAGATGATCTACCTGTCTTCTTGGTTACTACCCATTCATAAGCACTTCCAAGCTGAAATAATCCTGATATCATGGCATTGAATTTTGTGACAGACATTGTGTTTTCAAAGAGAAGATAAGGAACCAAGAAAGGGAAAGATTTTGGGGCAGGGAGGATATTCAGAAGAGACATGAAAATGGGGACATAACAGATTACCCAAAGGGGCAGTTCAGCCTCGGGAATAAACATGGTCATTGGAAGAATAATACAGAACAATGTGAATGAGTAAAATGGAAGAATAAGTTTCCTCAAAAGAAAGAAAAGAAATATCATGTTGGCCTTCTTCAACATCGATATCTGCATTAACACAAATCATTTGGTCAACTAAATGTACTTTCAACAGATTCAGATAGATTGAAGATGCTAGAAACAAAGATCAGCCAAACCTTGGAAGTTATGATGGCAGGAAGACATAAACGAAATAACTGCATTGGACCTGAATGCCAGCGGTGCTGCTGTTTCTTGTAGGCTTCATAAGACTCGGGTAACTCACAAACCACTTTTACATCATTAAGGAAGATAAATTTCCATCCATTTAAATGTGCTCGAACTGCAATATCCATGTCCTCAACTGTTGTTCTCTCAAGCCAGCCTCCTGATTCCTCTAAGGCCTTAATTCTCCACACACCTGCAGTCCCATTGAATCCGAAGAAATTGAGGAAAACACCATTCACTTGCTGCTCTACTTCAAAATGGAAGCACAGATTGATGTTTTGGAGCCTTGTAAGCAAATTTTCATCCTTATTCACAAACGACCAGCGAGCCTGAACAAGACCGAGCTCCGGATCTCCCTGCAATAACCAACAAGATTGTTTAACTGACTACTGACATTAAAATGAAACCCAAGTTTCTATTTTTCCATTAGATTTCATATAACACCTTGAAGTGAGGAACAGTTTGCTTGAGGAAATCAGGGTTGGGCTGGAAGTCTGCATCAAATATAGCAACAAATTCATAGTCCTTGACATAGTCACAGGCCATAGCTGATTTAAGATTGCCAGCTTTGTATCCAGTTCTGATTAACCGGTGCCTGTAGATTATGTTTGCTCCTTTCTCAAGCCACATGGAGACTTCATCTTTAATTAGAAGCTGTAAATTTCCATCATCTGAGTCATCTAGAACTTGAATTAGAATCCGGTCTTTCGGCCAATCAAGCTGACAGGCAGCTGCAATTGATTGTGCAAATACCTGATTCCAAGAATTACTTCAGAATATATCCAGAAACAAATTGCAAAGAATTTTAATGAATGTCAAAATCTTCTGCAACATTTGTACTGGGATTAGTGAAGAAATACACCCAAGTATATCGGCAACAGAACACAAATAGATATAGAGGGAAAAACCAACCAATTTGAGCAAGGTCAGTGTTAATCTCACCTCTCTCTCATTGCACATAGGAATCTGAACAAGAACCATAGGGAAACTTGAGCCATCCTCGATGTCATAAGGCTCTCCTTCGATTCTGGGCTTCAACTTCTTGCATTTAATCCAGAAACACCCCAGACAAAGAATAAGCCGATCGAGAGACTGAATCAAGAAGAGAACAATGCAGAATTTTGACATAGTTAACACCAAAGGAGCAATATAATCACCTCTAAATGACAGCCAAGCCATGTAGGACCATTGCACAAGACCTTGAACCTCCCATGGCTGTATCAGTTTCAAATTCCATTTCTTCAAATGGGCAACAATTTCTATTACCAGAGCTACTATAGAGATAAAAAGAAAGGCTTTGATAAATCTATACAATCTTCTGCTTTTGGCCTCTTCTTCGCTCACATCAGATAAAGCAATGCGTTTCTTGACTGATAAAAGCATCGTTTTAAAAGCCATTGCCAACCATGAAATGCAAGCAACAATTCTGTGAGCTTTGAGAAGAAGAAACCAAGTAAACTGCTTCGGACTAACTGCTTTCTGTTTCTCAAGAAGTAACGTTGAATCTGAGCCATTGATCTCTACAAAAGAGAACTTATTAGGTTTCCCAATTGTGACTACAACTGAACTTGGAGCCATTTCAGACCAACAACAAAGAAGAAATATCAATAGATTCAACACCCCAGATCAAAGTTTAAGAAAAGAAGCAATAACTTGAACTGGGTTTTTAGTTCTAAGATTTGGAAAGCAGTCTAGATGTTAAAGGAAGATCAAAAAAAATCCTTCAGCTTTTATATCTTTCCATTACTTTTCTACAGAAAACTGGATCCCTGAAAACAGATTGGAAACAGAATCCAGAAATTCAAATGCAGGGATGCTTCAAGGTTTGACAATTGAGATTTTCATGTCAAAGCCATGATGTTAATGTATTGTTGGCAAACAAAGAGAGACAGATTGACTAATAAAGGAGAAGGGAGTTCCTGTTACTTGCTTCTGTGAATAGAATTTGACAGATTCAAAACCAATATTGAATATTAATTTCTTAATTTCTTAATCGGTGATTAGATATAACCAAACTTAGTCAACAATCAAAAAGCTTTATGGGACCAATCCAGCTTTTGACATGTGACCAATGTTCACAAGAACCAACCCCAGAACAAAATCTGAGTGATTAGTGAAGCCAAAACCAAATTATGATTCATGACAACTAGTTACAGCCAAACTGCAGATCATCTCACAGGAAAACCTGTTTCAGGTTTATTCAAATCTGTCCTCTCATTAACCAATTACTGAGAAGTTCCTCTTTCCTTTCCTGGAATATCATTAGATTAATTTTGTTGACATATTTAATCAAATTTTCGAGGTATCATTGAGATCTACATGCGATTATATCCCACAATTTATATATCCATGTCTGTTTATTTTGTATCTAACATATGTACAACACGAAAATTATCATGTCATAATTCAAATAAACATCATAAATACAAAATATATATTTTTTATTTTTACCAAATCTATATACATTTTTTTGCTAAAATTATAAATTATTGCTTTTTTTTTTTATATATCATTTTCGTATTCTATTATTGTATCATATTTAAAATTATGAGATCTACGTGTAATGTATAATTAAATCCAAGCCTGGCTGCACCTTATTATCAAAGCTGCAACAGCTCACTAAGTTCTCAATTCAACAATTGACAAACAATATTAATTTCAAACTTACATTGTTTCCCACTAAAAATTTCCCTGGATATCACTTGTAAACCCATTTTTTTAATGTTATCAGACAGGAAAATCCTTGAATATTGACCATATATTGAAATATTTAACTTCCCTAGCTATGCATGGACTGCCAAAAACCTGAAAATTAAGGTATTTACCTTAGGGTCTAGTTCGTGCAAACAACAACAACAATTAGTTAAGTCTTATATCCTACAATTTTGAAATTAGTTATATAAAATGTAAAAAAAAATCATATTATGTCGTAATTTTTAATTTTTTTACTTCACTAATTTCTAAAATAAAAACTTTTATCTATTTTTTTAATTTTCATATTTTTTTATTATTTACATCTACGTTTTTTATAATCTATCTATAAAAATTTTAATATCTCTTAAATCTAAAAACGTATTTCTCTTAAATTTAGTATTGTTATATTTTGTCTTCTGCAAATCCCCTAGCTTCTAAGCTTCCCCTGTTCTAAGCTACGGCTTGTGACTCGATTTACATTTAACGATTTATGTATTTATGTTAATTTATTTTTAATATAATTATATATAAAATAAAAAAAATCATCGTATCATAATTTATATTAATATATTAAATATAAAATATTTTTTTAAAATTTATATTAAACTTATACTATTTTTATTAAAATTTTAAATAACATTTTTTTCGTATTTTTTCATATCGTACTGCTATCATTCCATCCTTGAAATGCATATGGGAACGATAACAACTCAAACCAAACCAAGGCAGCATTGATCACAGCCAAAAGGACAGTAGTGCTACTTTGCAACCTGTTTTCCCTTCCTTTTTCATTAATGTTAACAGAAAAAACTTGCATTAACAGTGACAGTGACAGAACGAAAGTCAATGTCTTTGTGACTCCATTTGCATTTCAACCATCATAATGCTAATATGAACATTTGGGATTTTAATGCCCTATTAATAAAAATGCTACATTCTTTATCTCCACTTGTTCAATTAATAATCAATAACATCCCAAAATCAATTTTAAGAATTTACATGCAAGAGATACAATAACAATGGAACTTTATAGAATTTTTTTTTTTAATTTGGAGGAAAGCTTATTCAAAACTTTTTTTTTTTTTAACTTAAAGATATATGCACTTGTTATTAAATTAAATGCTAAATCAAATGTAGGCCTGTTTAAGGGTCAACGTACTTGCTCAAATTTGATGATTTGTCTATGTTTTGAAAAGATTTAGATAAAAAATTAAAATTTATTAAATTAATTTTAATATAATTTTTAAATTTGTTTAAATTTTAAATAGAGCTTCAAACAAAATATTTAAAGCTCGACCTTGGCTCGATTTAACCTGAATTACATATATATAAAATTTTTATTTTATATATATTTGAATTATTTATAAATTAATTTAAAAATATATATAAATTAAATTAAATATATATATAATTTTTACTTCTAATTTTTATATAAATAATTTTTAATTTTAATTTTTATATATATGTGGATTGAATATAATCATATCAAACTTAATTTAATTATTTTTTAAAATTTTTTAGTATACAAATTAAATTTAATGAGTGAGATTAATATTTATTTTTTTATTTGAGTTAAGTTTGAAAAATTTTTGAAGTCTAAAATTTTGAGTAAAACCGCATCTGAATAAATATATAAAATTTTAATATAAAGCATGAGTACCGCTCAAATTCAATCTTACTCTATCCATGAATACCTCTAATCAAATGTTTGGAGTGCTTTATAAAATTATACTTGAACAGCATAATTCCGGTTTATATATATATATATATATTCCTTCATAAAATTCCAAAGTTTTTTTTTTAAAATAAATTAAATTCCAAGTTTGATTGTGGCTTATTTTAAAGAAATATTTAAATCTATTAAAAGATTCCTTTTTTTAATTAATAATTAAGAAAATATGAGAGAGAAAATTAGAGTGCGGCATGATTGTAGGCAAACAAATGAAGCAACATTATCTTATACTAATTAATATAAACTATGAGAGCCAACATGATTTGTTTGATGTTTGATCCCAATGATCAGAATCCAATCTCTAACGATTTAAATATAAAAAAAATAATTATAAAACAATAATAACAAAAGAAAAAAAAAAAAAAAAGCTCAAACATTACCTTCTTTTACTTTTTTTGTTCTCTTTTTTGTGACTTTCAAAAATAAATTAAAAACCAATACAAGTAGAAGTAGTGTCATAAAAGGGACAGCATTTAGTGTAGTGGGGCTGAAGAACTCAAAACTTTAGGGTTCCCCATGTGAGCTTAACTGAGACAACCCTTTTGTAGGGATGATGTTGTTCATTAATTTTCTCGTACCCTAAGTTCCAGTCTGTTAGTTACAGTTAGTATTTTACCCCACCTGTAAAGAGCAGTAAGAAAAAATGAATTAATTTAGTACAATTTACTTATATAAAAGAGATGGCGAATTGAGTGTTATAAAAAGAGAAAAGACGATAAAGATGGTCAAAATAAAATTTCAAAATGTGGATAAATTTTGTCATTTTCATAAAAATCTGAGGGAAAAGCAAATGGGGTTTGCAGTTTATGTGGTTAGATGGTAATGTATCCTAGCAACCAAGCATTTGCAACTGAAAGCCTCTTCCAGGAAAGCCCACAAGTAGCAAGCAGAGAACATGGCAGATATTTGAATCTCAAAAGGAATTCAGCTCTTTGGCTATTTGGCATGGTCACATGTGAGATTGCTGTTCTCTGCTATAACTCCCATGTGATTAGCTACCCTGGCTATGGCTGTAACCTGCAATTTAGAATAAAATCAAGTTTTACAAGTTGCCCAGTTGATTATGATATTGTTTATATTGAGATATATATATTGTTACAATGTATCTGCAGAAATGAAATTTCTATTATTCCATGTCAGCAAGATCATTATTTGAAATCTGAGAATATATATGAATCATTAATCATGAATCAGATGAAGCCAAGAACCAAACAGATGCAAAGCAAGGAACAAATCAATCAAGTTTCAGATACTGCTAAGTTTAGATACTCAACTGTCAGGCATCAGCAATATCAAGTTGTAATCTATTCTGTCTTTGTGCAAAATAACTATTAAAATGAACTCGAACTTAGTTCAGTTGATTCATACAACTATGGGTGGCATTTAGTAAGTCTGAAATTCAAATATCAACTTTTTGCTTGTCTCTAGGTTGCGGCCTCTTTATATCAAAACAGCAAATAACAATTGAAATCAAAGGATAGGATCGTTATTTTATGAGGGGTTAGCCTTATTTCAGGTTCAATGAGTACTTCCCGGGGACCAAAATGGAAAGCCGACTAATTAACCAAAATTGACATTAAAAATGATCAAAGCTACATAGGGTTAAAAATGGTGGACCAACAAATTTGCAGTACTGAATTACAAACATACTGCATATGGAACCCATACAAACAAGAGAGCTATCTACATCTGCATCGCCAGCTGCCGACAGAGAACATTTGCTATTTGTCCATGACAGAGATGAATAATGGAAGTAACAAAACCAGCATTAATATCAATGTGTACTGACCAAAAGACAACCCTTCACATAGCTGCCAATATCTGCTTTTACTGCTGAGGCTTATCATCGACAGTGAACTGAAAAGAAAATGGTTAACTTAACCTTCATGAATTAATTTTTATTGTACAAGCAGATGGGATTATTGACAAGGGGTTTCTTGTCGTAAAAGAAATAGAAAAAGGATAATCAAGAGAAGACAAACAGCGTCAAAGGTCACAAAAAGGTTGCAGTTGGTAGATACAGGTATGGGAAAGGGATGCTTAAGATAAGAATAATGTGAGACTGCCCTAACTTTTTGTCGAGATTCTAGTCAGTTGTCTGTTTGGTGAGATGTCCCATTTCTTTAGCAGACTCGAAACACTCATGCAGATGGCTCATGCTTGAAGCACTGGATGCCCCCATTGCCTGCATACTAAAAAATGTGGTTAGAAAAGATATCAGCCAAAACATAAGGTTTAAAATTCAAAATTTTTTGCTTCAAGGTGGATAAAGAGATAGTGTAAGAGCAGTTTGGCTCCTCTTTATTCAAATCCACCGAAAAGATCGGAAGAAGACAAAAAAAAAAAGAAAAAAGAAAATGAAATTCTGCAGGCAATCCAGTCCAGGTACCAGATGATGTCTAGTAGCAATAACATGAGATAATAGGTCCATGTTTGGTATATAGTCTTGCATGACAGTTGAAAAGAAAAAAAAAAAAAAAAAAGAAGTACTAGTCATGTATAGTCCATAGTACACTGTGCTTCCAGTATGATTATTCCTTCACTCAAACAGATGCTA